TTGACTGGAGGAGATCTCGTCATCTTGAAGCTTAACATTCTCTGGGTTAAGGGAGGCCAACAGAGTCTCATTGTCTAAATCTATAAAAAAGGTAGAAAGTTTAGTCTAAAGCTTTTAATATACATATGTATGAAAATAAAGGACGATTATACCTTTGAGTAGGCTGGCTGTGGCCTTGGCTTTAGCTTTTCTTTCTTTATTAATCCTTGTTGGAGCATCTGTTAGTTGAGAGAAAGGAAGTTTCTTGGTTGTTTGTTTCTTACCTTTGGGAGGATTTTTTTGAGCCACTTTCTTTGGGGTAACAGCCCGAGTGATTATAAAAGCCCTTTCAAAGGCAACAGATATAAATTTGAATGACTTTAGAATTTTGATGATAAGGAACTGGTAGTCAGCCGTCCTGGTAGAAGCAATGTAAGAAGACCATCATCGGTCAAAACTGGAATCTGAGGCTGGATTCTTGATGAAAGGTTGGAATTTGAATCCAGCTTGCAAACTAGAAAACTGAGAGGATACATTTTTAACATAAGAGTCATCCGGGAATACCACACGCTGATGAAAGTTTTTATTAAAGGAAAGATAAAAGGGCATGGGAATCATTTGGGTTAGGCCGAATTGCGTAGCAAGTTAACTAGGGTTATAGAATTCAACGCCAGCCTTTGAATTCACTATCCCTAAAGGACCAGTATTGAAATGAAGATCCCTTGAAAGAAGGAAACTGGCCCACATGGCCAAAAGCTCCTCAGAAGCCTTTTTTGTGGATAATCCTTGATGAGGAGTTAGCCATCGAGGGGCTTGAGAACAATGGGAAAATGGAAGAAATTGGCTTATGGTCCTGTGCTCGCAGCCAGAGTAGAAGAAATTGAAACAATCTCCAAATGAGTGATATTTGGAAATGGCCGATGCATATCTCATAGAAAGGAGTAGGTCATTGGCCAAAGGCCTCACCACAGGCCTTAACTTAGGAAAATTAACTTGTAACCAAATTTGAAATAGCAAAAGGGGGCCACTATAACGTTTAAAGTTGGAAGTGAGCAAGTTATAAATTCCCCGGTATAAATGAGAAAGCACTAAAGGGGCTAGAGCAAGGGGTTTACCTCTGGAAAGAGCAATGGCCACATGGATGTAGTCTTTGGTAACTTAAAAGACTGGTACACATAGAAGGAACTTGTTCAGCCAAACCAATAAGAAGGTAATGTGTTCAGCATCATTTATAAGAACACGAGGGTCCATGGTGGAATTTAAGTACTTACCATAAGAAGACTTGGAAGATTTGGTTCCAGTTTGTTTTAAAGGAAAGATGAAGGGAGAATCCTCCTCTACCAACAAATTGCTCACATATATCCCAAAAGTTTTGAGGCCGGTTAAAAAGCATATGTCTTGAATGGTTGGAGCCATCATACCATACTTCAAGTGTAAGGAGTTGGTAGTGGTTAACCAGTTGAACATAGCTGCTATCATTAGGGCCCGGTCTTGAGCGATATTTGTTTTGCTTAGTTAAATGGCATTATAAATGTTGCAGGCCTTCCATGTCTCTCCTTTTACAGCCCCAACTCGATTGACCCAATTGATCCAAGCATCATTGGGAATATGCCATGTCCTAAAATGAAAATGTGGCAACTGCCATTTTCATTAGGAGGGAAAGTTTAAAGAAACAGAAGCACATCGGTTGAGGGGTAGAATGGCGATATGAATGTAGGAGCTTCATTAAGAAAGGCAGGACCCAAACCCTTGAAATCAGTGCGAAGATCTATGAGAGTATTGAGACAACACTTGTAAGAAGAAAGGGTTTTTAGGGATTTCTCGATGATATTGCCATGAGTCGAAGGTTGAGGGGCTGAGGTAGAATCAGTTGATTTGGTTTTCTTAGGAGCCATGGAAGAGTATCAAGGGAAGGAAGTTGAGTCGTCGTGACTTGAGAAAGGGAATTTCAGAGATAGCGATTTAAGGGAAAGAAGAATAATTTCAGGATTTTAAACATGGAGCTAAATATTAGTGGAATGAAGTAGTAGATGTGTCCAATCACCGCTTAAAATGGGAATTGATAACCATTAAGGCAGGTGGTTGGGTGGAGTAAGAATTTATTACTGAAATTTGAAATTCAAGTTTTGGCAGATTAAAATTCCAAAAGCCTTTTATCATAAGTGATAAGGGCATTTGAAATTCAGGGGGCATTTGCTGGCACCAAAACTTGGCAGCCTTAGCGGTGGCGTGGACCAGTGAGGAGCTGACAAACGTTCAGTATGGTTCCAAGAAAAGACGGCCAGTTGGAAAACAAGAAGAGAAAATCTAAGAATTCAGCAACCTTATCCAATAAGGTTGTTGCTGAAATTTGGTAACTAATATTTGAATTAATTCAAATATGTTGTTTAAACTGGGACACTAGAGATTTAGCTAAAAATAAAATCCATATGAAATAAGGATTTAATTAGAGAAGGAATTCCAAAAAAGAAGGAGCAGTCACAGGAGTTATAGATAAATTCAAAAGCTGCAAATGGCTATTAGGCCATTTAAGGAAGATATGTCAACCGAGCTTATGGAAAGAAGTTGCTAAAAATTAGCAATTTTTTTGCAACTTTTCAGCAACAATTCAGCCACTTGTATTTGACTAAATCAAGGAAAGTCTTCAGCAAGGATTTTCGATTGAAGTCTATTGAAGCAAGACGCAGAAGAATACTGGGTTGTGACCTTGTTTGAATAACAAAGTGAAGAAAATCAAGGAAAAGATGATTTTCAGAGCAATTAATTAGGGAATAAGTTGATTAAAAGTTCTATAAATAAAAGAATTGTAATTCATTCCAATTTGTCCAACACCACCCACAAAACATAAATTTCTTATTCAATAGACTCTACGTCATTTTATCAATTTCTTTATGGCAATTTTCACTCAAAGAATTTAAGTTCCAGTAACTTACTCTTCTTTTGCAATGCTTTAATTATGCTATTTACATTATCAGTCATTTCTTTTCATGCAAACGGATTCAATGGCCAATCTTTGATCAGATTTGTGTCATTTCAATTCGGCTAGTTTATTTCATTTCTTTATTTTCCATGCAATTTCCTTTCTGCCAGTTTTAATTATGTTATTTTAATTCAAAATGTTTTCAATTCAATGGCAATTGATTAAATTCTTGTCATTCCTTTTACTAGCAATTGATTAAATTCTTGCCACTGCATTTTGTTTTACTGCATTTCTTTCAGTCAATTTCCATTCTGTCAATTTTAATTATGCACATTTCAATTCAAAGTGTTTTCAATCCAATGGCAATCGATTAAATCTTGTCATTCCTTTTTCATTCAGCCGTTTTCCTTTACAGTCAATTTAAATTCAGCCCTTTTCATTCAAATTTTCTTCAGTTAGTGCATTTTTATTTCTTTTAGCACTTCGATAAAAAGTCCTTGCACCAAGGCATAAAAAGAACTTTGTTGGGAGTTCTTACTAGTCTCTCTCCCACACATTCACCTAAAAGTCAGCCATCGAAAAAAGGGATAGGCTGGTGTTCATTTTATAATTTTAGGTGTTTTATACAAAAACTCTGGCACTCCCGTAAGAGTCCATCGACCGGCATAAAAACTGCGCGAACACATATACAATAACATTTGTCTCTCTTTATTTTTGTGCATGGATAGTTATATGCTTACTTAGTAATTAGTTTTTCAAGTGTGGAATGATTACGGTAGGAAATTACTCTGTGCTTATATGGAGATTGGTTTGTGTAGCAGCTATTTGCAGAGATATAAATTGGTTATATGTATACGTGTGTAGAGAGAATGAGAATTATGTTGTGCTAGACTTTTAGAGATGAACAGATTTGTTTAGACAGTTAAAATGACTAAGAAAAGGTTAAAATTATAATTTCGTGGTCAATTTACAAGTCAAATGATAGTAATATCAATTCACCATCTGTCAGATGTGGTGGGGTGTCTTTGTTAACTTTACTAAACTCACCATTGTTCAAAAATGGGTCAAGTTCTATCAAACGGTCAATAAGACAAACTCTAGATATGTCAATGTAATTAACCTATTTTGTAAAATTTATCGTATGTTTGTTTTCGTAACGTGTTATATCTGTGTTTATATTCCTGTAGTGTTTTAAATATGTATGTGCATTTAAGCAGTTGTCTCGATAGCCCAATAGATTAGTGTCTTTCGTGAATTTTAGACTGCGAGATTTCGACTCTCTCATCTCCTAATCTAACATCTAACACAAAAATAAATAAAGAAATGTGCATTTGATTTGTTTTTTTAAATGAGTATATGTGCAACTAGAAATTTTGAAATACTTAAATATTCTTTAAAAAAAAAAAAATTTATTAGTTAAACAACTAAAAAAATATCCAGAAGGACCATCTAACAATTTCTAAAAAACAACCCACCCACGCATTTCACATTATCCATATTGGTTATTGAGCCTCTTACTTTCTCTTTAGAAAGATAGCATATATCATCTGGTTCAGTCCCTCATGTTATATTCTTTCTAATTTTCTGGAGAAAATCCAAACAAAATCCTTCTTTCACCCCACTTTTGTCATTTTAATTTCTCAAAATACAATTTCATGTTGTCTACGAAGAAATAATGCAAAACATAAAGATAGTCCCACTTGAAAGCCACACACTCCCAAGCCTTTTGGTAACGTTAACTAAACCACTTCCATATCTTAGGGTTAGTGACCCTTACTTTCAGAAATCTGTGTTCTTATAGAACATAAGATAAATTTTGTCTAATTAAAAATAAAAACCAACCAATGAGCACTGAAATTGTCCGATGCATTATGCATTGGGCATATTGTAACCATTCATGTCCGTACGTGTATAATACGGACATTTGTGATGTGCCCAATGGGTCAGTACACCGGGCACACCGAATACCTACTCCTCTAGTTGCTTGGGAGTGGTAAGTTTGAACTCGTGGATGTGAATTCGAATACTTGGAATGCAATAACTTACACAAGTAACACCAAATAAAAACAAAAACAAAACACATACATAGAAAAGCACCATGAACACAGGAATTGAATGTTTTATATATCAATGTCGAAAAGAGTTTATCCATATTATATTAATAATTTTTTATGTTTAGAGTATTTCGATTATATATATATATATATATATATATATATATATATATATGATTCATTTTACATTTAGAGCTCCTCAAATCCTTCTTCATCACCTTCTTCCTCTACCCTTTGAAATTCTCTCCTCCAGGTTTCCATCTGTCAAGGCACAATAACATCAGATACTCAAAACTGCACACACATAAATATATATATATATATATATATATTATTTGCCAGCATTTGTAAAAACACAGTCACCAAATTATTATAGCCTGGGGGCCTAGAAATGCAATAACGCAAAATCATGTACAGTTTAACGGTGTGCTAAATCCAACATTAGGAATAATCAGAAGCATAGGATTTGATTCATAAGAAAACAAGGATACAAAATTTTTTGAAAGCCATAGTGATAATGAAAAATTTTACCCACCAAAAGAAAACAAAAGGGCCAAACAGAATTTTGTATAGAACTCGGAAAAGATCAAAAGAATGATAAGATGTTGAAGTATCACATTTTCCCAAAATTTCAAGAATTATTTAGTAATGGAGTGGAACATTGAGGAAAACATTTGCTATACAAATCCCTCACTCATCAAGCAATTACCATGCATCAGAATGTTTTCACTTGTAAAAGTGGAATAAGCTTTCCTACCTGATTGTCAGAAAATCGCAAATGTTCTGCAACGAAAAGTATGTTTTTGTAGTCTCCTGATGCTGGTTCTTTACCTAGGTTCCTGGCGACTTCATCGTACCCAATCATGTCCACTCGGAAACCATTGCTCATGAAAAGCCTGTCCATCCATTCCTTTGAGCACTGTGAATAAGAGCAAAAGCAGATAGTTTCTTTTTTAACAACAAAACCAATGGAGTAATTAAATGCAATGCAAAATCAAAGATAGCACACCTTGACCCCGACTTTAGTTTCAGTCAACCAAGCAGGAAATTCTCCCAAAAGAAGACATCCCTTCATGGCCAAACTACTAACAATGAATAATATCTCTTCAAAATTTGCGAGTGTCATCACAGGGAGACCCTTAAAAGACGAGCAAAATTATCACTTCACCCACTTAAACACTCCCCAAAGTTCATGCCACAGATAAAGAGTTACAAGTGATTACTGACATACATAATATAAAAGACCCAATCACCTGAAATGCCCATATACTAGGCCGATTACCACTGAATCCTTTACTGCACAAAGTTTCTTGAATATTAGAGGTTTCCAGTGGAGCATGAAGTAGCAAGCAGCTTCTTGGAATCTTAGCTCCGACATCTATTGGTTTTTCAAGGAAATTTGTCACGACATGTTCAATTGCTTATCAAAACGACACATGAAAACTTATGAAAGACACTTGTATGGTAAAAATATACAAAGAACAGAAAGAAATCATGGCAACAAGTAATGCATTTGAAGAAACAACAGGTCATAGGACAACTACCAACACTGAAGTCATCAAATTCCTATAGTTATATAAATGATGCATGCAACTTTAATATCAAGTTCACTTTGACATAGCTATTACTATAAGAAGCAAACAATATATATATATATATATATATATATCTTGAATGGTCTTTGCCCCTTAGAACCAAAATTGACAAATTTTATCATCTCCTTGAATACCTAAACCAAATTATTGCAGCTGAATTACAAACTCTAAGGTTATAGACCAATAAATTAGGTGAAATGATGCACACCGTCAAGCTTTTGAGCTGCTCTTCTGAATACACTTTCTGGAGATATGTCAAATATTAAGGTTGAAGTTGGCCAGCTGAGCCTATAAGGCCGAGTGTCCATGCCATCTGTCAACAAAACAACCTGCAGTGTATAAGTTGAGAACTATATAACTTCAGAACTATAATAACTTGTCAATTTAGCCTATATTTGCATCGGCAATGTACCTGCTTAACTCCATCAATATTGTTCATTGTACTAAGCAACTTATCATCAATGAACTTAGTTGCAAGGCAGTAATGGTGCAAGCGGTGCTTCATATCCGTCTCAATATTAGAAGGAAGAAAGCACCCAGCATAGGCATCGACAAAAAGAGGCTCTGCAAATGGAACACCAATAACATCCTTGTTACTTCATTAAGAAACTTTAGGGGAAGAAAAAAATAATGAAAGAGAGAAATTAAACCGTAGAAAGGAGAAAAATAATTGCACTGGATGAAACATTATCTTTAGGTATAGAATTCAGAGTTCCGTCAAGCAATGTTAAGAAGGAAATATGGTATGACAAGAATCGGAAGAATACGAGTCCAATTAGTTTGTGTAAGGAAAATGTCACACCAATTAAGTGAATGCTAATAAAAACTTGAATAAAATTGTTCGTTGATTTGCAATAAAGATTAGTAATTACCTAGTCATGAGGGGTGAGATTTAGTTCAAGCTGAAAACACTAGGAGGACAACAATAAGCTCGTCGAAAACATGAATACACACAACAAGAAGACATGTCCCCTGACAGAGTAAAAAATTGTTGGACGCAAGTAATTCGGACAATGTTTCATTTATATGAGTTCACATTTCCTTAATCACTAGAATACCCACCAAACCCTATCAATCTACATCATATAACGTAATTTAGTTTTAGGACACTGACCACATTGTATCAAGTTACAACAGATGTCCTACCTTCAGTTCTAGAACACCCACCACATTGTCCTAAAATGCCATATAGTTCAAGAACACCCCATAAATTTTGGCTTCAAACATATTGATTTAGTGCTCAGTCAATAGTTAAAGTGCTCATAGGATTGTCAGTTAACTGTTCGATATTATGCCTGAATGAATATTTTTGAGATTATTACATGTAATCAATTGACAGAGATGTGGATATATATATATATATATATATATAGAGAGAGAGAGAGAGAGAGAGAGAGGAGGTGGGTTTGCCTGAAAGATGGGTCTCCTGAAAACGAAGAGAAGCGCGATATAGAGCGGATTGATATAGTGGGTCCTCGTCTACGTCGTTAAGCTTCGCTCTCAAGCCGCCATTTTTGGTTTTCTTGAAGGCGCATGTTAGAGATGGGCGCATAGTAGCAGCAGCCAGTGGTGGTGCGAAGCCCGCCAAACATTCCATCTTAGAGAGTCTTCAGGGTTCCAGCAAGGACTAGAAGAGACACTGGCCGTCATAAGTTTGTTCAAAAACTATAAGCCTTACCTAACCCTTTTGGTAAACATAAAGACTTTTATTTTGTGTAATTACATTATACGAATAAAAGAAATCAGTTAATTCATTTAAATAAGGGTCACTGTCTCAATTCTATAATGGCAATGTTTGATGCATCTAAAATAGAGGGAAGGGATCCTTGTTTAATTCTTGTTATCAATGTCAAAAGAATTAGGGAAATACTACATGCAAGCATCAATAAACTTTTTATTTTGTAAGTTCAATACTAATGCAAAAAATATATATGACACCCCTTGCATGAACATTGATTATATATATATATATATATATATAGGCTAGAAGGATTGAAATCATATTAAATTTTAATTCTACATATGATAGTTATGCCGATTTCAATAGACATTAGTTCATATAGTAATAACGAGTCTAATTTTATTTATTTTTTTATTATTATTATTATTATTATTATTATTATTCTAATTAGTACTCAAACACTTCCTTTAAAGAATTGTATGGATCTAGCAAGAACCACGAGACTTGATGGAGTCAAAATTTATGTTAAGCCTTAATGATAAATAATATACACATTTGTTACCACGAATACATCTCACATCTTTTTAATTTTATTCCATATATACATTCGTTGCGAATTCAAAAAGGATCGAATTAAAGACTGAAACTAACTCCCATACTAATTATAATAGGTTTAGTGTTTCCTAGTTCAACCAAAATAAATAAATTATTAAGTACTGTTAACGCTAAACTCATATAATACTTGGTTTCGTAGTGAAACAACTTTCCTAACACTTACTGTGCAAATAATCAAATGTAGAATAGAATTTGTTTTTTTAATTAAAAATTTTTAAAAATATAGCATGTAATTTGCCTCCTACCAACCAAAGGATAAATTTCCAAGAATACCCTCCCAAAGTTAGATTCAAAGATTCAATTGCATAGGAGTTTGAAGGTTAGTGGAAAAAAGTTAGGTGCAGTGTTGCCAAGAGAGGTAGTACCAATATTTTATAAAGACACCACCATAAAATTGCCACCAAATAACATTTCCATTACACAAAACACAAACCCCCCAAAGTTGAGCAGAAGCAAAACCAAAAGGCTGAAGAAGAAATCAGAGCTCATCTTCACCTTCCAAACCCTGAAAATGAATTCCAAAACCCAAATTCTGGAACACCCAGATACCAAAACCCCTTCAGAAGATCAAAACCAGCTTGCCATTGTCCCTGCCAATCCTCTTGCCACTGCCTCAATCTCTCTTTCTCTCTCTACAATTCTTCCCACCCATTTCATCCTCCCTCCCAAAATCTCTTCCTTTCTTGCCCCTCACCCCAACAAGGTCAAGATCCCCTCACAAATATCATCTCTCTCTCACCTCTCTCTCTCCTCCTCTCTCTCTCCTCCCAAACCATTCTTCAAATCAACCGTCTCCGCAAACCCTCTCCAGAGCCCACTGAGCTTGAACCCTCGCCGCCCCTCTGACCCTTCCAATGCCGCCGGAATTCGTCGAGCTTCCATCGTTTGGTTCCGAAACGATCTCCGAGTCCACGACAACGAGTGCCTCAATTCGGCCAACAACGAGTCCATGTCCGTCCTCCCCGTCTTCTGCTTCGACCCGAAGGAGTTCGGGAAATCGTCGTCTGGGTTAGACAAGACAGGTCCTCACCGTGCCACATTCGTGATTGAATCGGTCTCGGACCTCAGGAAGAACCTCCAGGCAAGAGGGTCTGATCTGGTGGTGAGAATTGGGAAGCCCGAGACGGTGTTGGTTGAATTGGCGAAGGCAATTGGGGCTGACGCTGTGTATGCTCACGGAGAGGTTGCGCACGGCGAGGTTAAGGCGGAGGAGAAGATGGAAGCGGCGATGAAGGATGAGGGTGTGGAGGTGAAGAAGTTCTGGGGAAGTACTCTGTACCACGTTGATGATTTGCCCTTTAAGATGGAGGAAATGCCCTCCAATTATAGTGGGTTTAAGGAGAAAGTGCAGGGTTTGGAGATTAGGAAGACCATTGCTGCTTTGGATCAACTCAAGGGGCTGCCATCTAGAGGAGATGTTGAGCCGGGGGAGATTCCATCTTTGGTGGATTTGGGTCTTAACCCAAGTGCAGCAATGGGTCAGGTATGATATTCAATTTTGTTGGCTTATACTGTATGTGTTTGTGTATGTATATATATTTGGTATGGTATTGGATTTTTTTAGAGCTATAGGTTTATGTTTGTGTTATATATTTGGTAGGTAGATGGTAGGATATTGCATACCCAACTTCTTTTCTTCTTACCTCCGCAAGAAATAGCACGCCCACTTGTTTCTGTGGACTTTCTTGACCTCACAGGGGGATTCAATCAATTATTTATTAACTAAGAAGAGTTCTATAATAAAAATTCTATAATAAAAGATTTTAGCTTTTTGAGGTGAATAATATTTAATTGATTGTATACAGTGTGAAAAGTATTATTTTCAAATTGGCCTCACATCTAATATAAAGACACTATAAGTTGACTAGTTAAAAAAGAGTTATTAATTATTGTGGGACATTCAAAAAGAAGTGGTGGACCATCTTTTGGTAGAGTATTCTTTTATTGTGTGCTATATGGATGTTGTTATAGCTTTCTTTGAATGTAGTTTGGTTTGATTCTGTTTTGGACATTATCATGTATAAAATTTATTGGTGTCTGTCCTGATGTTCAGTGTTAGTTCTTCCTTTGAATATAGTTGTTTGATTCTGGTTTGGGCCTAGTTTAATTGCAATTCAATTAAGAGAACAAATGCATAGGATTACAAAATATCCATTGCAATAGTTCAAATTTGCAAGTAATGAACATTTATTCAGCCAGATTGAATTTAAAGGGGAGGAGAAAATACTGATCTTATGTGATCACAAGTAGTAAGAGTTTGCATTTTTTGAACGTAAACAGTTTATCAATATGATTATAGGTAATTCAGTTCTTGAAGTTCCAAAATACTAATTTTCTTCGTTTTTTTTACCACACAATATATGCACCTTCATACATGAAGGGTAATCTCAAGGATAAAAAATTTAACTTATTGTGCATTCCATGTGAAGCATGAGTTCTGTTGAATTGTTTCATACATGTTTGTTTGAGAGATTTCAATCATGACCTGATTATAAACGAATTTGCAACTATCTCATTCTGTCGAAGTTCTATACTTGAGTTTTGAAACTCCACAAAAAGATGGTGATTGAAAATACCGCTAACAGTAATATAAATAAGGTTTAGTCTACCATGAGATGTTGGTTAAACTGTTGAACTCATAAGATATGCAGTCACCATGGCATTCCTTCAGTTTGATTCTTTACACTTGTTAGACCAAATTTGTTATGCATATTTATTGTCTATAGAATTTTCAGTGTTCTGACTATCATGAATAATATTATAATTTTTACATGAAAAATGGGAAGAAAATGTAGATGACTTTATCTTTTCTCTGACAACTGACAATTTGGTAATTTAATGACATGTAGGTTGGAGCTTCTAATGCTCCGCTTAGGGGAGGAGAAACTGAAGCATTGCAGAGACTCACAAAATTTGCAGCTGAATGCCAAGCACAACCACACAAGGGGACCAAGAATGGAAACAATGATAGCATATATGGTGCAAACTTTTCTTGCAAAATCGCTCCATGGCTTACTTCGGGATGCATCTCTCCCCGTTCTATGTTTGATGAGCTGAAGAAATCTGCTACCAGGTATGGCTTAATCTTCCTGTTCAGGTCCCCATGCCCAGAAACAGTGCTGTAGTTTATCAGGTGACCAACGTGTTCTGATTTTTGAATGATGTTTCATAATTGACAGCATGATCTCTGCTGCCTCAAACCAGAAAGATGGTGGCAGCGGTGGATCGAACTGGTTGATGTATGAGTTGTTATGGAGAGATTTCTTCAGGTAACTAAAAAAAACCATTAACCTCGTGTCACACTAGAATTAAGGTTTCTTATCTCTCACTACGCGAGTAAACACTTCTTAATTAAGGCTTCACACTAAAACCATTTTCTAATTGGTTTATGTGAACCATAGTGGGCTCTTTAGTCGAGTTTTTCTTGAACCTTGTGCGCTAATTTTTCATGTCATTGGTTTTTCAGATTTGTCACCATGAAATGCAGCTCTGCTAAACAACTCAATGCTGCTCCAGTCACTGCTTGAGCGGGTGCTGTTGCTTAAGCGATAAAAAATTTAGAGGTGAAGAGGAAAATCTGTTCTAGAAAAGGGTTTCTTTTGTTACTTTATGATATTCCAACATGTAGCTGTTAGGTATTGAAGTAGGGTTTGGAAATGAACTCTTCCCTGATGGACTGCTGTTCTCACCGCCAAAAATAAGTGCTGAACATGGAAGCTTTGTCATGTTTATGTGTTATTTTATGAATTACAGATCCTTTTGGTTCTGCTCTTCTTGTTTTCTTGTAGCTTTACTTTTGTTGGGAATGGATGTTTTATAAAAGATTGATATTTTCTATCAATTTACTTTTGTCGTTAGTGGAGGAAATTAACTTGCATTTGTTACAAAGAATATGGAAATCAAAGCACTCAACCTCTACAAGTTTCTTACTTTTTCTCAGTTTAAAGTCCGTTAACTGTCTTCTGGCAACAGAAGTGCTTTTTTCGCCTATCTGCTGCAGAAGCATGCCATGTCATGAATGTATGCTTTGAAACTACTAGCTAGCAGCTGTTCTTCAAGTTAAAAAACATTACTCCGTGCTGCTCTCAGAGAAAGAAGCATTGTTTGGATTTAGTCAAAATTCAAACCGACGAGGGTGCGGATGCAATTCAAGTATGAGGGCAGTTTCAATTTCACATTCTCTGAACACCCCTCCATCCTCCTCTGGGTTGCATCAAGAAAAAATCAGTGCTTCTGCTCGCCGTTGAGAACACAATTTCTTCATAGGGTAAACCAACACCTGAATTCCTTTAAAAGAATATATATATATATATATATATATATAATGCCCGAATTGAAATCAAACTTCTGTCAACTCATCGACACCTATATCTTGGGGCCATCAGCAATCTAAATTATACGATAAAGTTGTTCCATTGTAGCCTAATAGTTACGGATTCAATATGAAAAACAGACTCTAACTGTGCAGGTAAGGAGGCCTGTATCTTGAGGCCATCAACAATCTAAATTATACAATAAAGTTGTTCCATTGTCGCCTAATAGTTATGGATTCAAAATGAAAAACAGGCTCTAACTGTGCAGGTAAGGCCCAGACCCTTCAGCAAGAAGTCACGTTAAATGAGCTGGCTCGAATAATTGACACAGGCTCAAGCTGAGGGTAGACAATCAAAACTCAATGGAAGTTTCTATATGTTTATAGTCTTAATTAAATGGGGACAAATGCAAGGATAATGATTAGCCCTAATCAGTTCTAATTTCATTTTTCTTTAAACCGTGACATTAGGGTTAATTATTTACTATCAATTTTTATAATGTTCTATGCACATGAATAATCCATCCCACAGCTAACCGGAGATCAACCCAATTTTTCCAACCCAAGCACAATCTCAAATTCAAAATTTCTACTACGTCGTGTTGGGTAGGAGTTGGGATGAAGGTTAATACCTTTAAAACCTAGGTTGACGTCCATCCAACTGGCCGGAGCCGCACGTCAGCCCTAGAGACATAATCTTGGACCATCTCAAGAAACCTGGTGTGTACTTCCTTTGATAATGAATGCCTTGATCATCCTAGCCTATGTTAAAGTAGACAAAATGCCCACCATTCAACATGCTTATTTGAGCATACCATAAGTAGAATTCTATCAATAACAGAGTCTCAACAAAACTAGCAAAAAAATTCCATATAATACTTTTCTCATTGTTCCCCAGCACCCTTGACATATTAGGGAATACAAAACACAAAATACAATCAATTGTAAGCAGCAGGGGGAAATTATATTTGTGATGAAAAAATAATGACAAAACTCTCATAAGATACCAGAAACTTTAAGAGAAGACAGTACAACAAAAATAATCCAGAGTAACATGAAGAACACACAGGTAACCCAAGCCCATAACCTAGGCCCTCCGAGCTCAGCACCCAATGTCAGACGCCTAAATACCAGAATGGCGATACAGCCTACAGACGTAGAGAAGAATACAAGCAAGGAGAAGCTGAGTCCCTCAGCATTCTGGATCCGCAAAGGTTCATTATACGCTATGAAGTTGTATGCAGTATCAATAAGCCAGGGAATGCCAATGCCCACATAAATGTTCACAGAGTTGCTGCAGAGGACAAAATTATGAGAACAAATTTGTTGGTCTAGCAAAGCAGTAAGATAACAAATGACTTTAAGATAGTGGTGTTAAAACCTTCATCATGCTAACTCTAAAACTGAACAAGAATATTAAACAAAAAGCAACAACAGAATTCTCAAGTTTTCACATATATATATATATAAGAGATTTCTTAAATCTCAGTTGTCATTAAGGTTCAAAGGGACATTTGTATTGCCCAAATTATTGTCTTGACTTTGGTTACATAACTTGAGACTAGGGCCATAAACACCATTTCAATATCTTATTATGTAAAATATTATTATATGATGGATACAAGATACAAGGTTTCACACCACATGAAACTTCAAGAACAAATTCCAAGTCCACATCAAAGTATAATGTTTAGCAATATTTTTTAATTTAAAAATACTACAAGTTCAAAAAAAAAAAAAAAAAAAAAAACAGGGAAAAAAAATCCTCATATCTTTGGTTGGTTTAAATGAGGCACGGGAAACATATTTCAGGTTAAAACCAAAAAATGAAATTACCTCCCAAGAAGGTTTCTAATTGACATATAATTGAGAAACCTCCTAGTAAAGCTTTACACTATAATCTAATGATGGTATCAAGTCAACTGAAATATATATATATATATATATTACTTTTAAGTTTTAACATCAACAGACAACAGGTGACATGTATAACTTCCACTTGAATAAATTTTACATAACTGCTCAAAATAATTTTCTTGAATCTGCAATAATATATTATCAACAAGACAACATCCAAAAGCCTCCTAGAAAGAATTTGGCTGTTTAGATCATAACCCAATTTTAGTGTGTAACATAGCCCTAATATTATTCGAAGTTGATAAATAGAACCTGCAAGTGATGTTCGCAATGGCAGAGTCTGCTGTTGTCTGTCGTTCAGCAGCAATCTTGCTGGCCACTAAATCTGGCCATGAGGTCCCACTTGCTAATGCAGTAAATGCTATAACATAAGCATTTATTCCTGCAAGAAAATAGGGCGTGTGAAAAAAATAGTATAGATCTCTAGTCGGTTAGTAAGCTGACCTAAAGCTAGGAGTTTTATCTCCCAGTCAGAAGGAAAACCTGTGACACAGCTTATAAGATCTGTGATCTGTGTTACAACGTAAGCTATCCCACTGATGAAAAGTAGAGTGCAAATAAAGGCAATCCACCCATGAGCTATCTGATAAGGAGGCACAAAAGCAAACAGAAGTCTCCATGGTGCAAGGAGTGACTGCCAGAGAATTCTTGCAACACGCAGGGATGTATTGTTCAATTTTCTCGATTCTGCGGTTTCCAACTGTTTTAAGGAAGAAGAATTATTCATGAAAAATAGTTAAAAGTTTTTAAATAAAAATGGTGTAAATTTTCCAGTGATATCTACAAAATTGAATGCACGCTTCAAAAAGCATTAAATTGAAAAACAACCAAATTTAATCAAGGCCATGTTAGATTGTACTGTAGAGCTTTACTAGGAGGTTGAAAATTTTGATCCTGATCGAAATTAAAAATTCTGCCAAATTAATTAAATTTGATCCTGATCGAAATAAGCAATAAATTGACTTCATGCTTCCACTGCAGAATTATTTATTTCGATCAGGATCCAAATTTATTTTGGCAGTGGAGTTCAAAATTTTGCTTAAACTGCAGAATTGTTTATTTCGATCAGGATCCAAAACGTACATCCAATTTAATATCCTCTTGGCAGCTAAAAATGGGTAAATGACAGCCCTAGTGTTTTCTTTCCGGCAGACTTGTTGACCAAATTTTATAAAATGACAATTTTGTCCTTCCCTTGATAAAATGCAATAAAATATATTATTACAATATCAAGGCATTACTAAATTTTCACACTTACAGTCACTTTCCGACTGCCAGCAAATGGATTTAGGAGAGGTCAAAGTAATAAACGCTGACGGTCTACCCTTTGTAATTTGCCCAATCCTCAGGGGAGGTCAGTGTAATTTACCCATAAACAAACCAAACAGTGCAAGCATATAACAGACCTACAACTCCATGTAACCAAACAAAATTCTATAAAGTAATGGGAAATCCCAACCTAACCCTAATAGTAAGATCCCGACCCAAAGACCATCGCCAAGTTTTCTGGTCCCACATTTGTGGGGTGCTGGGAGGAAAGGACTAGATACAAACAGTTGACACTATTTGGACTGACTAGGAAAATATACAGTCAACGTGTGAAAATTTTAGACTGACTAAGAAACTAAAAGAAATACTGGTAGACTTGGATCACTTTTTTTTCCTTGATAGTGGTAGACTTTAGATTTAGAAAGTGAACGGTCATGAAAAACGCATTGTGGGTCAATGGACTCAAATCATTTAATATATTTACAAACACACAGGAAAAAAAATGATTAACAAATGAAAAGTTGATGTTGGGGAAATATATATACATGTGTGTGTACAATATATGATTGGCGTCATGCACTATTCAAAAAGGAAGAAGTATTATTTTCAAACACAGTTCATAAGAATATTTATCAAGGGAAAAAAAAAAAGATAATTATTGGCCCATAAAGAAAATTGAATCCTTTTTTTTTTTTTTTTGGTTTAAGTGGTAAAAGTTTCAGCTGAGAACAGCCTGAAATAACATATATTGCATTTTATTAGTCACTCCATCCAAATTTAAATGCCCGTCCTAGGAATCCAACTTTCTAAGGAAGTGGGATTTAATGCATTCACATTGTGTTGGGGAAGATTTAATTTCCAAAATCGTCCATCTAAAACTTACCTTTCACCTTATTGCCTTATGCGCTGCAATTTCAAAAAAGTATAAACCATGAATGTTATATAAAGTACATAAACTTTTCAAAAAATAATGTAAAATCACATGATGGAAGAGAGGCATGTTTTCTGGGATAAAGGGAATAGAACTTTCAGCCTAGAATCTCAGACTAAAGTCCAGAATCACTTCAGACTTCAGATGTTGACTTCAAAAGCTACTTTATAAGTTTCATTTTTGTTTATAAGTGTAAACTTGAGTGCAAAAATTAGCAATCCAGATAAATTTTTGGCTGTTTTTGATAAAAGTAGATATTGTAAAAAGGTTCAAAAAGATTTCCAAATTCATACTTGTTTGAGTAGCCAATTCTACACTAGAATAAGTAATATGAGATTGGTTCTTTCAGAAGTTCAAGTATACAACAAAGATTTTCTAACAAGTAAAAACTATGAGATTATTATTATTATTA